CTTACAGTAGCCATCATCTTCAGAGGAATACCTGGATAATTCTGAATGCCAAAACATCATCATAATCATCAGCAATAGCAGCAACAATAACACATCATTATCTGTCCTTTGTAGGTTCTAGCACTATGTTTCTTAACCTTAGCGCCTTTAAGATGCATGGACTTCAACTCCCAGAATTCCCCAGCCAGCTCCAAAGTCCAAGCCCAATTTGCTTGAGGCTTAGAAAAGCCTCGCTTGCCCCTGTCTCCTTAGGCAGAATACCCTCTTTTAGGCTGCTTTTAATACATTGGTACATAATACAAAGTTTTGACAGTAGACAGAAGGCCTCTGGATCAAAAGCTTCTCCTGGTAGTTGAGCCCTCTGCATTTGCAAGTATTTCTTTGAAGAGCCCTCAGAAGGGTCTAGGACAACTCACCATGGCCAAATCACTGTGGGAGGCCACTGGGAATTTCAATGGGGGATGACTCAAGAGAGGGACCAGTGAATTACAGTGGGCCTTGTCTTGCCTTAGCTGTGAACCTCCTCAGGCTAGAAGTCCTCGAGGATGGGGTGAGCTACAATTCTACTGGTCCCTCTCTCGAGTTATCCCACGTTGAATTGTCCCAGGGCAAGTTGTCCTATGATGAGTTGCGCGCAGAGAGATGGCTGCGGTGAGTCGGCCACAGCAAGTTGTCCCATTCCACCCCAGAATGTGACATGGCTGCCTCTTTGTTCTAAGTTTGGGTAGCAAAGCATTTAGCACCTTGGAGGGAGGTGAGACAATTATTACACACAACATTCTGCAAGCAAACATTCATTATGGTTATACAAAGAACTTGACTTACAACCATTCCTTTAGTGTCTGCTGAAAGTTACAACAGCACTGAAAAAAATGCCTTACAAGGGTACTTAAACTTACAATCACCACAGTATCTCCATGGTCATGTGATCAACATTTGGGTGTTTGGCAACTGGCCACATGGTTGCCATTTACAATCTTCCCAGATGGCTTCCCACAAGCAAACTCAGTGGGGGCAGCTGATTTGTTTAATGACCATGTGATTCACTTAGCGATTGCAATGATTTGCATAACAACTGTGGAAAAAAGGTCGTAAAGGGGGTGGGACACTTAACAAGCATCTTATTTAGCAACAGAAATTCTAATCCCAATTATGGTTGTAAGCCAAAGCGAACTTTTAATTGCCTAATGGCCAGTACTCCATAAAATCCGCTCATCCTAGGAACTTTCTAAAACAGAACTGGACTCTTCCATTGTGAAATCAGTTTTGGCCCACCCATGACCACTGACTCACCTGGGCTCCATTTTTTTCCTGGTGCTTGTTCAGTTGCTTCATTCCAGGATTTGCATAGCTGTCAAAAATGATTTGGGAAGAAAATGAGCCACTGAGCCGATTCAAGGGACTGTGCTGGGGAGTTTTGGGTTCAAGTCTCAGTTCAGAGCAGACTCCCCCACTTCTACAGCCAACTATTTCTTCCATGAATGCTGCAGACTTCAAATTCCATAATCCCTGTTTGTTACAACAGGCTGACACATTCACATCTCTGGAAATGGCCAAAGAGTGTGGCAAAGTACCTCTTAAGAGGTGTTTCCTAGTCAAACTACCAAGATATTCTTTGCCATGGATATGGGTTAGAGTGCAACTTCCATCACCTCCCGTGTCATTAGATATGCTCCAGATGCCTTTTAGAGAAGAAAAGAGGAAAGTTGTGTGGACTTCAACTCCCAGAATTTCCCAACCAGCCATGCTGGGAGTTGAAGTCCACATACTTCAAGCTGCCAAGATTGGGAAACACTGAGTTGGGTCAACCAGAGAAGACAAAGTGTGGTGGCCCTTCAACTCATCTTTAATTCAAAGAAGAGTTTGAATTTATCTTTAATTCATCTGCCCCAATAAAAGTGCCTTCTCTAGAAATAAGATGAGTTGTACATGTGATGCATCCTTGAAGTAAGAAGCAGAGTTCCACCACCCGCTATCCCCAAACTTATAATTTTAATAATGTTTCTGACAGTTCAAACAATTGACCAGCCAAAGGCAGCCAACACCAAAATTCTGCACAGTAAGACAGTAACTAATCCCACACTGTAGCTAAGAGATGGTTGTGAAGCCGATATTCCTTAACTTTCGTCAATTAGGCACCCGCTGCAGGAGTTGGTTTGTGCCGGCTGGCAAGCCCAAAAATGGCCCTCCGGAGGCTGGTTAGAGAAAGATGTCCAAGGGGCAGAAGTTCAAACTTTTCTCATTTTTTTTAAAACAAAGCCAGAGGCTCCTGGTGCAACCAGTGAAGAGACTCAGGGCAGTCGTCTTGAGACAGGAGAACCAAATGAGATTTAATGGGAGGTGTTGTCCTCAAAACCTCAAGTCAAATGCCAGAAAACCCCACAAAAATAGAACCTTTCTACTGCAGCTTTTCCCAGCCTAGGTTTCCAGACGTACAGTATGGGGGCTATGAATTCTCTAAACTCCAAATTCCAGACTTGAAGTCCCAAGATCTATGAAGGATTCCGCCACGGGGAGTCCTTCTCTGCACTATTCCAGGCATTCTACAGAGCTGTGACTTTCTTCTTTAAACAAAGCCCATTTGAATCTTGTGCTGGAGAAGCTACCAGGTATCGTCGCAATTTACACATTGGCTTGAGTGCTGGGTGCCGAGAAGAGCCCTCTGATACTCCTCCCACAAGGACAAGGGCTGCTTGAGGACTGACATCAGGTGGTTGCTGTTGTCATAATTCAAGGGCCCTTGTCCTCCCTTGAAGGCCCAGCTCTAGAGAAGGGCCCAGAGCTTCAAGAGATGCTCAGGCTGCCTCTTCTGCTTTGACTCAGGTCTTTGACTGCAAGGGGAAAGGGAAGTAAATTGCTGAGAATGTGCTTTGGTTCCCCTGCCAGGGTCAGATTGGCTCTTGGCTTGGCTCGGCTTCCCCTGGAACTCTGGGCCTTGGAAGGGTCTCTCCCTGCCCCACCCACAGGCTCACATTCTGCAAAAACCTCTAAGGAATCCACAACTTTACCTTGAACTTTCCTGCCAGTGAATTGGTCTTCTGCCTCCCCACCCACCCCCACATCCCCTGCATTGGCAGTTGCTAGCATAGAAGGGCCTCCATTCTGACCGCAGAGTTGTTGAGGAAGGCACCTCTGGCTTTAAGTGGCAAGGCCTCTGCAGCTCTGGATGCAGAGAAAGAGGGTAGGTTCCTCTGGTGCTCACCCTGCAGAGGCATTTGAGCTACTCTCTACAAGGACACCCAGAACAATTGTACACCTCTGCTGCTCTGGGATATTCACCCTGCTACATCATTCAGCACTATCAGGGTCAAACTTCGTCAAATGATTATTGTGCTTTAACATAACCATCATTATGAACCAAAGTGAGCTTACCACATTTAGGTACCTGTAATCTAGTACATTTTCATTTATTTTACTTTTACATTTTCATTTCTATGTTAAACTCCTAGGCCTCTTTTTTTAGATTTTCATCTTGCCCCTGATGACTTATATATACTTTTAAGTTTGTATGACTGTAATAAAAATGGATTGGATGAGGTTACTTACTCAAGTCTTTTGAACCGCTCAAAACCTGCAGCCACGTATCGGCACCCGTTCTGCAGCTCACTCAGCTCCGCAATGCGATGACCCTCTCGAGGTGTGTAGATGCTCCTAATGGCCACGGGGGCTTGGATAGTGCTGGTCACCTCATTCAAAAAGGCGTCAAAAGTCAGGAACCGGCGTTGGCTCACAACAAATTTCCGGCCCAGGAAAAAGGGGTCCCCATTGCGAAAGACCACCACATTCTTGGCAAGGGGTGCCACTGCCACCGTACCTGAGACCATCTCTCCTGGACTGCAGACCCCAGGCTGCTTGTCTGAGAAAGCTCCCTGACAGAGGGGCACCTTGGGGGCTTCTGCAGCCAAACAGCAGCGCTCTTCTGAGTGTGCCAAGTTGCCTTCTGAGAGGAGAACTATGCCGTTTCCATAGTACCGGTTCAACAAGGAAAGAGAGAGGGAGTGCCCTCCACTTGGTGAAAGATTCGGGTGTGTCTGTGGCAGAAACTCCTCTTTTGTGGAGGTATGAGGAGCCAGTTTCTAGAAAGATATCCCCTCAGTCCTGGAAGCAGAGATGTCAGCTCCGCTGTCCATGAGATCAGAGGTCGTGCCATAATGAAGGTGGGACTACAAAGACAATAACATGCTCCTCTCTACTCTTCTGCCTTGGCTCGATCCAGGGCACATGCTGGGAATTAAGCCAGGGTTGCCCCAATCAAAGGAGACTCCTTGGGAATAAATCATAATAAATCCCACAATGCAGAGTGAAGCACTTTCCAGTCAGTGGGCATTTCACATCCCACCCAGGCACGATGAGCAGCCTTGGGCTGCCACTAGGGTGGAAATGCAAGCGCTACTAAATGACTCTGAGGTTGTGGTGAGCAGCTCACGTAAAATGCAAATCTGTTTTGCAGATACTGTAAAACCCACAAGTGGATTTGGAAGGACATTAAAACCATAACAAAGCAACAGTGCCCAGTATGTCGGGGTCCCTTCTCCGTTCTTGGCCCCAACTGTTCAACATATTCATTGCAGATCCTGCAGTTTCCCAAATCCCCTTAAAAAACTAAAGATTATGAGACTGACCAGAGACGTTATTACTCCTGACTCTGTTGCTAGTTCCATTTGGAGAGCTTCTCTCTTTAAATGCCTTCTTTTGCTTTCTCTCTTTTAATGTTCAAGCTTGCAGGGATGGGGCTGTCTTTTGTTGAACTAATGTAATCCACCCTGAGGATCTTTGGCTTAAAATCACACTACAGTATTGCTACTGTCTTGTTTAATTTAGAGCAATGTTTCTCAACTTCAGCATCTTTAAGACATCTGGACTCCAGGAGGAGGAGCCAACGTTGCGACGATATGGACGTGCAGTCTGGATGCTCTGAGACCGCAGCCAATACTTTTGCCACTGGGTGGTCCAATCGGACCTAAACCGTCCCAAAGAGACGGTGAACAGGAAGAATACGTCTTGCTGACCTTAGGGACGTGGGTAAAAAAAAAAAAAGACATCTGGACTCCAACTCCCAGAATTCCACACAATAAAACTGCACCTTTCCAACAAGCTAAGTCAACAGCGAAGCTGGATTTCCTCAACAACCATGTGATTCACTTAATAACTGCAGTAATTTACTTAACAACCATGTCAAAAAGGTCTTAAAATCAGGCATGACTTATTTAACAACCACCTTGCTTAGCAACGGAATTGATCCCAATTGTGATTGTAAATTGAGAAATACCCGTAATGTCTCTGGCAGGTTCATACTGCCTAGCACAATTGAAAAATGTGGAATATTGCCTAATTTTATAGTCATGGGCCAAAAATGGAGCATGGGGGAAAAATGTTTTATTTAATTTCATAATAATTTATTAATAGAGCGCATCCAAATTTAAAACAAAAACAAGCCAGCAAAATAGCAAAAACAACCATGCAGTAAAAACTTTAAGAATAATCAAACAACCAGTAGCCACAAAAAGCAAATGTGAAGGAAATTGGTTCCAGCTAAAATATGGGACCCTGGAATAATCTCCAGGAATTGAAAACTTTCTGGTCAAAGCTGCTCTAATATAACTGACGGGGGAAAAAGGCCCACACAGGCAACAGCTTCCATGGCCCACTGATCACTAGCTACCGTAGCTTTGCAAATGCTGATAAAACTGATGTTGCTCCACCAATTGCAATTCCCAAAAATCTGCCAGCCTTGAAAAGCTTTTGCAGCCTCCAGTTTTTACAGTTCCTTTTGCAAGTCTCAATGGTGACTTCAGGATGTGGCCTCTCTAAGGAAACACAGTGGACATCTTGCCTGCAGCCCCTTGCTTCCTTTCTGGCGGTAGCGGGTCAAAGTGTCAGCCTCCAGTTCAATGTGAAAAGATCATATGTGAGCTCTCAAGCTGGTTTCCCCAATCTCTGTCTTAGGATCAAATACTATGAGGGATGATAAAAAGGAAATAAAAACAAATGAAAGCAGACGAAATCTACATCAGCTATCCTAATAAAATTATACAAATCACTATATTCCAAAGGAGACCATGAGTCCTTCCCTTGATAGTTTTAACCCCTGTCCAATGCATCTACTAGTACAACTCTGTATTTTAAAGATGCACGCTCTTCCACACCCCGAGGGATCCTGTCAATACCTCTCCTCCCCATGCCAACTATCAGCTTATAGAAGAAGCGGTGATCACAGAACTGTGTCAGATCAGCTGGCATTTGGGTTATGGCTGCTCCCCAAGGCAAAAGTCTGGCAAGCAACCCAAAGGCAGCATCCTTACATTCTTACGGCTGGCAATTGCCTGTTGCAGCCAGAGTAGCTCCATAGCCAGGTGCTTGCGGTAGTTCTGCAGGCCAGGCATCCCTCTGGGCATTTCCGGTGCTCTGGGGAAATGAGACTCTGGGGAAGAAAAGAACAAAATGGTCAGAAATAAGATTGTCTCTCTCTCCTCAAGCCAGGCAAGGCAACCGTCTATTTATACATAGACACACACACACACACGCACAATCTGCTTCTGTAAAGTTGTTAGGAAGAAAATCGATGCTATCCAGGACTTGGATGTACAGATGTAGTAACTGCCTCCCAGTTTACCAAAAGTCCAGGGTTTCTTCCAGAGCCTAACTTACCCTGGCTCATCCTGGGAGATTCCATCCCCAGAACTGTGCTGCTCCAATCAGATGAGGTGTTGCTGGGTTCCCCACCTTCCTCGTTTTCTCCTGGCAGGCTGCAGGCATTCCCAGAGTGAGCATCCACAGCTTGCTGTCCTACCTCACCGATCTTGGGTTCGGCTGTCACCTCAGCCAGTAGTCGGCTTGGAAACTGCATCTCAAAGTCACACATTTGTCTAGACTGTGATACCTCTTGAAAATATTGTGCATCCTGTTTTTGTGGCTTGTCAATTTTAACCTCTTCTCTGTTGAATTGCTTTATTGATTTCTTGGCAGACTGTAAATAAAACATAAAAATAAAATTCATTAATATAAAACAATAATATAAAATAAAAAGATTACCTTTAAAAAGAGAACGATCATTATGTACAGAGCAAGATATTTTCAAGTTGAATGTGCAGCTGCGTGTTGCACAGAGCACTGCACATCCTATTACACATCAAACAAAAAGCAAACATTTATTTATTTTTATTTTATTTTCAAAACAAACATACAAATCCTCCTTTACATACTGTAGAAAGTGTATCAGTTGGTTACAAAAGGCTTTTGTGCATCTCTTCCACCGTCAAGTATAATTCATATTAACTCTAATATCTTAACTCAGATGTTTATACGTATTACCATCATCATACCTCCACTTTTATTTGACTATGGTTGTTTAAACGTCCTTCATCATAAAATATACCAAAATTTAATACATAACCACATACTGGCATTTCATTTACGTATTTATAAAATCCTCCATTAAAACTAAATCCTTATATCCTATTAGGGGCTAAACATCCATAATATTTAATAACAAAATTTTCTAATCCTCCTTTCCAAATCCCTGTTTACAATTTACATCCAGTTTCCTTATATTATATACATACATACATACATACATACATACATACATACATACATACATACATACATACATATATATGTTGTTGTCATTATCCCTCCTTTATT